CCCCCCCCCCTTTCGGGCCTGGGCGGCCCCCAGCGTGTGGGACCCCGCTTTGGGTTGTGCCACACCCCCCTCGGTGTGAGGTGTGGGCCCCATTTGGGTTCGTGCCCCCCAGTGAGATGTAAGCCTCCCCCCTTTTGGGTCATGGCCTTTCCCCCGTGTGGGCCCCCACTTTGGGTTGCGTGTCCCTCTCGGCGAGATGTGGACCCGTCTTTCGGCCGTGCCGCTCCCCGCAGCAGTGGTTTGGGTCAGCACCCACCACGGAATGCAAACCCCCCAGCATCGCACCCACCTTGGCGTGCCTGCATCTGCTCTGCACTCTGCTTTAGCAGCACCCCCTATCCCCCTGCCTAGGGGCCAGCATAGCGAAGGGGGTAACTTCGCAGCCCCTCTGCTGTGGGCTTAAAATGCACTGGCTGCAGTTGTCTCCCAGCGGAGCCCTTCAGTTGAGCGTGGAGACAGTGTGTCTGCTGTCCCAGGTGACTTGACACAGCCTGGCTTCTCCCAGGGCTTCTGCGAGCACATCGTGTTGCTGTTTCTTCATCCCATTTGAGGTGAAAATCCTTCAGCCTCACCAGCAGAGATGCCCCTGGGAAGCCATGGGTAGGTAGTGTACCCCAGAATGGGAGGGAAAAATGCCAGGGCTCTGAGTGCTTTGTGGAGTAAGCCGTGTTTTGTTTGGGTTGAGCCATTTTAGTGTTGTCTCACATCGGGTATATGAACAATAGAGAATAAAACCAAAACAAAGCAAGGTATGTTAAAGGACTCCTTTAATGCAAGGGCAGCCCTTTGCCATGAGAATAAAACATGTCCAAAGGTACCGTAAAACGACTTCAGGCCATGAAGACTTCTACTCAATGAGTAAAATTTGGCCATAGACTAAAACCACTTTCTTCCCAGACCTCAAGTATTTTCCAGTCAAGCACCTGAGTCTCCCATGTTTTTACTTTATGGTGATGTTCAAACAGAAAATTATTTTTTCTGTTGAGACTATAGAAGCAATGCTGCTTCTTTATGTGG